CTTATATATGTTTTTTTTTCTTCTTCTTCATTATGTATTTTTTGGCTTAATCGATTTATATCATCAATTTAAATGTCCTGGTCCAGAAATGACTAACCACCTGATCTATTTTAATAGATGCTGCTTGGTATTGTTTTTGTTTTGTTTTTTCATACTTTTTCTTTCTCCTAATTGTACAGATGGAGTCTGGAGGTACAGTCCTGAGCACCAACTGGATGGATGTAGCAAAGAGAACAGTGGAAATGAACCCTCCAGACAATGTTGAATTTAAGAAGTTCTAACTACTCCATGGTACTAGTTCTTAACTGCATTTTTGGCATACTACTTTTGGCAATTCTTTCCATATATGCGCATCTGGAAGTCGTCGTTTCTTCTGGGGTCTGTGCCCATCATTCGGCTTCTCTGATGTAGTGGATCTGTTCTAATGTAATCTCCCCACGTCAGTGTGTGGACACATGGTCAACTAAGTCTGCCACGGCTCACGACCAGCTGGAGTCAGTCATTTACATAATCTGTTGAATTTTTAAAAAAATAAATAGACTTTGATAAAACGAAAGGTCCAGTTTAAAGCAAGACATAAACGCAGATTTATGTGACTCTCTTTCTCCGAACATACCATAAATAACTATTATTTTATGCTCCTAATCATGTCTTGGCTCTGTTGTTTCTCTGCACGCTTGACACACGTGACGTCAACGGCAATACTACTCAACACTGATTGACCGACTGCACTGGCATCTGTTTGACCGAGTCCGATTTCTTCATGTGATTCCAGCTTCAGTGTAAATAAAGGAATAGCTGTTTGGCACAGACACACATTACGGTGTCATAATTAATGGTCTGTATTCTGTGGAAACTATTTTGGACAAGTGGGGAAAAAAATCAAGTTGTTGGTCAGAAAACGAGGAGGTGTTGAGTGTTGATCTGTGGATTAAGATCGGGTCATGGATCCTGTTGCCCAGTGATGTCGCACTTATTTTGATTAGATGACAAATGGGCCGAACCGGTACAATCATAAGTCCGCAAAGAAGTGCAAGTATCTTAGATACATCTTCATATTTAATCAAATATAATTTCATATCCTGTATTTTTTTATTTTCAAAATGGTCTCCCGCAGCTGTGACTCTGTAAAGAGGCGTTCTGCTAAAGCAAGAGAGTATTAAGGTGATACGGCGTTTTGTGCAAAGATAGGTCGAACATTTTGGCTTAGGTATCGGATCGGTCGGTTGTTGTTTCTGTCAACGTTCGATCCGGAAATCTTGACTGATGTCCGAGTATGGGCTCGAGCCATCCCTAAAGAAAATGCAAGTGTATTTGTATTTTGTCAGTGTAATAGCTAGCTTCGCGTTATTTTGACTTGTTATTTAACCATCTCTATCTCAAGAAGGAAATGGGGAAAAAATCCTTCCGTTAGCTGAGATTTCGAGAAAGCGGTACGTAGCTTCGAGCAAGACATCACTACTTGTATAATGAGGTTTTGCAACCAAGGTTATGCGGACGAGCATCTTTTGGTACAGTGGGACGTCATCACGTATTTGAAAATGTATTTCTGCCATTTTTTCGAATGTATGTCACGATGAAACCGGGATGGTTGAGAACACCAAACGATTCAAAACCAATACTCGAAAAAATGCCCCTAATTTTATAGCGGCCAAGTGTGTTAACGTGAATAGCTCCATTAATATCGTCATTGTGGCGGCACGTGAAAGGTTACATATATAAAAGTTTATTCAGTGATATTGCACTTTACGATCATTTATTTTCTGATAAAAAAAACACATTTTGGTGAAACCTGTCAGAGGGGTGTGTACAGTACATGGTTTTGACAGAAGTACGAGAGTCGGAATAAAAAAAATAAAAACACAAGCAAATATAACTCTGTAAATAGCGATACAAAACAGAGAATAAATCGGGCGCTACTGATTGGTCTCTAACATATTGTCAACAATCTTAATTCTTTTTCTTTGAAATGTCTAAAACCAGGACTACAGTACAGAACGGTGCTTATACAGGGTGCTATGAAGTATAATTTATATGTAAAAAAAAAAAAAATTAAAATGAGATAAGAAGTTGACCTAGCAACAGGTTTTAGTCATTTGGCGTCCCACAAGGAAGACAACTCGTGTTGATTGATTTTCATAGTGATAACCCTGGAGTAACTGGAGGAAAACGAGCTTCTTCTCAACTTAACTTAGAATCTACAAAAAATCCTTTTTTTTCCAAAACACGATACACCGTTGTTCATCAAAGCTTTTATTGCACGATCCAGCTACGCAAATTGAACGCCCTCTCCACCCGAGTGCTTTAGCGAAAGTGAAAGTAGTCGGACTGTAAATGTTGTTCGGTTAATGTAAAAAAAAAAAAACAATTCATCTCTCCTCCCTTCTTATATCTTTTTACATCCTCACAAAACGGGGTGGCACTTAGACAAGACCAAGGATGCGTGCCACCCACCAGTTGCAGGGCATGATGACTCTGCAAACGACCCTGCATCCTCTGTAGTGGTAGGGCCAGGGGTGGTAGCCTCCCAGCGGCTCACAGATCCTCTGACAGTGAGTGTAGCTGCGGCGACACTCGGAGCAGCACACGCCCTCGTGGTCCAGCATTGAGTTGATGTTCATGTTTTCCCTCTCGCCCTCCAGAGCTCTCTGTGAGGAAAACGAATGAGAGTGGTGTGAGTGACGGAGGCCTTCGTTGTCTCCTTGTCGTATTCAATTCGATGAGGTCTGTCCTCGACGGCAGAGAAAGCTTGTTTTAAACAATTTGGTTTTCAGTTGTTTTCTATCATGCTATTGGTGGGGGGGGGGGCAGCAAACTGAAATACTATCGAGAACTTGACAACATGTACTGTATATTTTCATCGGTACAAACCACTGTATGAGTTGCCGCCACCTAGTGACCGATATCAGCTGATACCGATATACGCAGCCGTTTGCGGCACACCAGTGGTATTATTGTTATCGAAAAGAGTCAAGGGGGGAAAAAAAAATGCAAAATTATAACTCAAAACTCAGCTTTGTACATTTAATGTGCTGTATCATAACAATAATTCACTTTCGCGAAACCAAGGCATTGCGTTATCGGCTTTTCAGTACCGGAGGAAAAGATGGCAACGATTCTTATCAATATTTATAGTTAGGCTAGTCCCTTTTACTTGTTCGCATTAAAGAGAGTGTTATCTGCATATAGGTGTATTTTTGCTGGAAAAGATTCCACCAAAATGATTTATAATTTTTATTTTTTCTTCTGTCTTCTAGATGAACACATCAAGTACGATCTGCTCGGTAACATCGGAAACGTCGGAAAATTCTTGCTCGGTGTTTGAAAGAAATAAGGGATTATCGTAAGGATGTGTGGCCCAAGAATGAGGTCAGGTTGTAGGTTACGTGTCTTTGCGAAAGTCTGTGTGTTCAGCGGAGCAAAAGGGCCACAAAAGAAGAGTAGGGGGAGGGAAGAGTCTTCTGGAATTATTCATAGCCTGTCAGCCTCGATACAAAGCTTTGGACAGCCGCACACTGAAAATACACACAAACACTCTCAGATTCGCGGAGACAATCCTTGCCTCAGCACCCGTGACCTTGTCATCTGCTGCAGCTTGCGCAGCTGTGAGAGACTCCACGTCGGGCCGCGTTTCTCAGATCTGATACGGCGCTCGTAAAAAAAAAACAGCAGAATGCGAACACAACGCGGAGAGAAAGCACGGCTTAACGTTAAAGCACGGGACTCACCTGGTAGGGGTTTTCTGGGTTAAACTCTGCCTCCACGTCCTCCTCTTCTTCCTCCTCGGCCGTCTGCCTGCGGCTAATGGCTCTCCTCTTCCTCTCTGCACCTTCACACCACAGGGACTTTTACTGACGGCTAATTAGGCAAGTGCGGCTTAGCTTCTGATCGTAGAAACAATGTTGTAGGCAAGTGCGGCTTAGCTTCTGATCGCAGAGCCAAAGACGTCGAAACAATGTTTTGGTGTCTTTTTGTTTTTTTTTTACATTATTTACAGTTGTAAAGCATGTGGCTTTTACTCTTGAGATGACAAATTTGAGATCAGCAGTCCCCAACGTTTTTTGGTGCCATGGACCGATCGGCCAGTAGGGGGCGATACTGCGGACCAGTAACACCGTGCCGATTATTGGAGGATAGTTAGTTAGTGGTTGGATTCTCTTTTGAATCAAGTAAATTAGTAAAAATGAAGTACATTTTTCGTTGTTTCCCACTGCGGCCCGATAACGAATGACCTACGGGCCAGTACCAGTCCGCGGACCTGGGGTTGGGGACCCCTGTTTTAGATGATTTTAAATACTACGTTACGTCAATCCCATACAACAGGTAAATTCTCTAGATACCATGTCAGTACTTTATGTTTGAGAAATATAACGACAGCATTATTTCCAACTTCTTTCGAATTCGGTTTCCTTACTGGGTCTGTAGGTGGGGCGGAGCCAGTAGATTGGCAGGTCTCCACACAAGTCCTTAATCTTGGTGCTGAGAAAACCAGTGTCTGAGATGGGTCTGCCGGCCGCCACCCATATAAGATTATCTTCGAACTTGGCCGGCAATACCTCGTCTTCCTATTAAGATACAAAACAGTTTTGACGTTTTCATCCTTAGCCGGGTTTAGGACTTATACTCAGATGCAACGTATGTATTAAAATATATAATTCACATTTGTTATTTTCCACACTGACAGCCGCTAGAGGGCACGCTAGGCTTGTGCACCAGTATCTGCTACTGCTGTGCTACTCAAATTTACAACCGCTAGAGGGCACTGGAGCGACTTATACTCCAGAGCGACTGGAAAATACGGTACCTTCACTTTAAAACTATTTTTAGGTCACATAAAAATCAATTGACTAACTAGACAAGACAAAATGACTCACCAGACTGAAGGTCATGGATTCCTTGTCCAGAGACTCCACATCAGGCAGATGAGTCTTCATCTGGGTTTTGATAAAGCACTTCTTTCCACCTGTAAATCGAATCCCCGTGATTCCCTAGAATAGTCAAATAGACCAGGAAAAAAAATTAAAAAGAATAACAATAGACACCATCCATCCATCCATCCATCTATCCACCCATCTATCCATCCATCCATCCATCCATGCATCCATCCATCCATTCATCCATCCATCCATCCATCCATCCCTCCATCCATCCATCCATCCATCTATCAATCTATCCATCCATCTATCCATCTATCCACCCATCTATCCATCCATCCATCTATCCACCCATCTATCCATCCATCCATCCATCTATATATCTATCCATCCATCCATCCATCCATGCATCTATCCATCCATCCATCCATCCATCTATCTATCTATCTATCTATCTATCGATCTATCTATCTATCTATCTATCTATCCATCCATCCATCCATCCATCCCTCCATCCATCCATCCATCCATCCATCCCTCCATCCATCCATCCATCCAACCATCTATCCATCCATCTATCCATCTATCCATCTATCCATCCATCTATCCATCTATCCATCCATCCATCCATCTATATATCTATCCATCCATCCATCCATCCATGCATCCATCCATCCATTCATCCATCCATCCATCCATCCATCCATCAATCCATCCATCTATCCATCTATCCACCCATCTATCCATCCATCCATCTATCCATCCACCCATCCATCCATCCATCTATCCATCCACCCATCCATCCATCCATCCATCCATCCCTCCATCCATCCATCCATCCATCTATCTATCTATCTATCTATCTATCGATCTATCTATCTATCTATCTATCTATCGATCTATCTATCTATCTATCTATCTATCGATCTATCTATCTATCTATCTATCTATCCATCCATCCATCCATCCATGCATCCATCCATCCATTCATCCATCCATCCATCCATCCATCCCTCCATCCATCCATCCATCCATCTATCTATCTATCTATCTATCTATCCATCCATCCATCCATCCATGCATCCATCCATCCATCCATCCATCCCTCCATCCATCCATCCATCCATCTATCTATTCAACTTACGATTTCGAAGTCGTGCACCTCCACGGCCTCGTCGGCGCCACTTCCTGTGCTGAATCTCTCCATGTTATTCAGGGAATCGATTTCCATCGAGCCCTCCTCCACTTTTCCATTGATGCTCATGCTGTAGTGGACATTATAGACCTGGACACACACACAGAAAGGGTCTCAGAGCGGCATGTGAGGTATGAGACTCCGGAGTCTCACCCCTCAACCCTCCCTCCTTCTGGTTTACATTCCTTCTTTTCCCAAACGTACCCATAACCTTTCGTCACGCACACATATAAAATGATTCTGTTCCTGTTACACTTTTGGCCGATGCTAACCCCTTTCTGTGGCACCCTTTTCATCGCCTCTTAATGGCATTTTCTAAGACACACACAGAGAAGAGATGCATTTTCACTCACATGGCATCTTGCACCTCTTGC